ATTATACTTTACCTTAATAATTATCAGTGGCGTATTCAATATTTTTTTACTAGAGGGGTAGTCAGTATTTATTGTTGTTTATGTAGGAGACAAAATTAGTTCAAAAATATTTTATTGACATATATGTAGAAGTATTTATTAGACCACGCTTGCATCTGAAACGAACGATCAATTATTTGTCAGTAAATATGCCCGTGTCCCAGTCGAGTGCGTACAAAATTGCCAATAAGACGCGCTCGTCTGTGACACGGGCATGTACGTTAAGTGGTTAAAAAAATTGTTTATTCGCCTGGTATAATTGAGATTTATTTTTTACTTATTTCTTTTTACTTGATTATTTATTTTCTGTTATTTGATACCTTTATTATTACCGTTTTATTGAAATCCCTTCACCGTTGCTATTGTTTTTTTTTTATCGAATATTTCTTATTCATGGTTTCAATATATGTATGAATTTTACCCGATTAACTTATGACGAGGGGTAAACACATCCAAAAAATGTGTACACAAGAATTCCTAACATAAAGAATACCTGAGAAATCCTGGGAATACCTGAGAATTCCCGGGAATTCCCAGAGACTTCCTGGGAATTCCCAGAGACTTCCTGGGAATACCCAGAGACTTCCTGGGAATACCCAGAGACTTCCCGGGAATACCCAGAGACTTCCCGGGAATACCTAGAAAATACCTGGAATACTGAGAGAATAACTGAGTATATCCAGATAATGCCCGAAAAATATATGAGAATAACCAAGTATTTCTAAAGATTTATCTAGAGTTAGTAAATAAGGTCCTTAATGAGGTCCTTAAATTATTAGGAAAATAAATAATTGTTCCGGATTTATTAACTAATGATTAGCATTTTTTCCCTCACTTTAGATCATATTTTACTTTTGATAAAATATAAGAAATAAAAAGATAAGATAGGTATTAACTGTGGGGGAAAAATTTTAACTTTGGAAAAAAATCTGATGGGTCCAATTCATGACTTTCCTATCTAGTAATTAGGTACAGGCTTTTTCCGGTTATTTTGTACAACCTATTGTATCATCCCTGTAAATGTTTAGAGGATGAACTAAATACATTTTCCACATGCATCTTACTCGAAACATTTTTTATATTTGGTGTTTTCTCCGTTTTTAAACTGAAATTCGAAATTGCAGTTTATCTCAAATATCTCGACTACGGTCCATTTTAGGGAAATCATGTATATAACAAAAAATATAAAGCATAACATTTAAGAAAAATTATATATGGGACAACAATTATAGAAAATTATATTGCAAACAACTTTTATTCAAAAAAATTTCTTCTCCAATAGTAAATAACGGAGATATTCGTTAAATTAAAAAAACGACCCCCTATAAAACACCCCCAGATGCTTCAACTATGTCCATAATTTAGACAACTCACCACAGAATGTATTTAAGCTTAAGTTTAAAATTTGGTGTTTTTCTCTTTATTCATTTTTGAGATATAATTTAAAATTCGAAATTTTCACATTTCCTCAAATTTTTCGAATACGGGTCATTTTGATAAGATTAAGTATGCAACCAAAATTATCTCGAAAATTATAGAGAATAATATTGCAAACAACTTTTATTCAAAGAAGTTTTTTCTCCAAGTGTAAATAACAAATATATTCCATAAAGTAGGAAAATGGCCTTCTATAAAGTACCCCCCAGATGTTCTGACCATGCCCAAAATATATTCAGCTCATCGCAGGGTAGATTAAAATAAAAAATTTGGTGTTTCTCCTTTTGTCCGTTTTTTAGTTATGTTCAAAATTTCGAAATTTTCACTATTCCTCAATTTTCTCGAATACGGGCCATTTTAGGAAAATTATGTATGGGACAAAACTTATAGAGAATAATATTTCAAACAATTTTTATCCAAAGAAGTTTCTTTTCTAAGCGTAAATAATGGATATATTCCATAAAGTAGGAAAACGACTTCCCATAAAGTGCCCCCCTCCCAGATGTTCCGACTATGCCCAAACTACATTTAGCTCACCGCAGGGTAGATTAAAGCTTAAGTTTATAATTTGGTGTTTTTCTCTTTATCCGTTTTTGAGTTCAAAATTTTCACTGTTTCTCAAATTTCTCGAATACAGGCCATTTTAGGATATTTATGTATGGGGCAAAAATTATAAAGAATAATATTTTAAACAACTTTTATTTGAAGAAGTTTCTTCTATAATCGTAAATAACAGATATATTCCATAAAGTAGAAAAACGACCCTCTATAAAGTACCCCACCAAATGCTCCGACTATGTTCAGATTTAAGCTTAAGTTTATAATTTGGTTTTCTTCTCTTAATCGGTTCATGAGTTATCGAGTATACAGACACACGCACACACAGACACGCACACACACACACACATCATCGCGAAAATAGTCAAATCGGATTCAGGACCCCAAAACGTAAAAATCCGTCGTAAACTGGAGGTCGAAAAAAATTATGATTACTATACTTTCCTTATCTGTATACAGATAGGAAAGTAAAAAATCATGTTAATAAATAATATATTTCATTTTTTAATATTTTGCTTGTTTAATATCGAGCTTAATATTTAACAAATTAATGCACATAATATAATCGTCAAAACTAAAAATAAAAACTTATTTGTGTTTTTTATAACATCCTCATAATTTAAATATTTAATAGCACCGTGTGTGGCCAAAAATTACTAAGTAATGTGTTTTACAAATTTTTATTGAGACATTTTTTTATTTATTAAAAAAAATACAATTTTATATATTTTTATTAAAAACGTGTTATTTATTTAAAATAAAACAAAGTAATAAAAAATAAAAACAAATTATTTAAAACTCAAACTGTTGCACGCTTATATTCTTTATATATTTTCTTTATTTCTTCTTTTGTTTCTCTGGATATACTAAACGGTTTAAAACCTAATAAAGTTATTGGCCCGAATAGGGTGAATTCCTTTTTAACTGTTTGTATATCATCCTTGTTAGGCCAATAATAGTGACCTAAGTCTTCTTTTAAAAACTTTATCCTATACAAGTCAACATTTCTAGTTTCTATTATTTTTCCGATGTACCACGAGTCATCGTAGTAGATGGCGTAATATTTATCAGTTTCTATTAAATTGACAGTGCTTTTCTTGCAATTTTTAGAAGCGGCAAATTCTGGGACCACCCTAACTCTTATAATTCTGTCCAACTTAATTTATTGGATTGCTCTTCTAGTAACCAACATAATGTTGTTTTTCTAATTGTTTTATATTTATTTCCAATTTTTATGTGCACTACATTTTTTTTTGTTTTAGTATCATTAATATTCAGGGAAGTAAAGTTTTTCAAAATATTTCCTCCTTTAGAAGTGGTCTCAGTCGACATCTCAGCTTGGACTTCAATAATTTCTTGTTCTCTGTCAGCTTCACTTTCTGAGGTAATATTTTGAAAAAGTTCTTTAATGCCGATGTCATAGGTTCAAATCTAAAAGCAATGCAAAATCTTGTTTTTAAGTTTTGCACTGTGTAATTACCGAGGTAATTAAATTATGACTTAATTTTTGGGTACGTGCGTAGATGCGTGCGCGGATGCGAGGTTGCGTGGGTACGTGCGTGCGTAGGTGCGTGCGCGGGTGCGAGCGTGCTTGCGCGTGTTTCTTTATACTCGATAACTCATGAATAAAGGATTAGGAAAAAACACCAAATTATAAACTTAAGCTTTAATCCACCCTGCCGTGAAAGAAATTTGAGAAAAAGTGAAAATTTGGAATTTTAAACATAAGTCAAAAACGAATGAAGAGAAAAACACCAAATTATAAACTTAAGCTTTAATCTACCCTGCAGTAAGTTGTTTAGATTTTGGACATAGTCGGAAAATCTAGGGGGTACTTTATGCAGGGTCATTTTTCTACTTTATTAAATATACGCTTGCAGAAGAAACTTCCTTAAAGAAAAGTTGTTTGCAAAATTATTCTCTATATTTTTTGTTCTACACATAATTTTCCTAAAATGGCCCGTATTTGAGAAATTTGAAGTTAAGTGAAAATTTCGAATTTTGAACATAACTCAAAAAGGGATAAAGAGAAAAACACCAAATTTTCAATTTAAGCTTAAACACATTCTGTGGTAAGCTGACTAAATTTTAGGCACAGTCGAAGCATCTGGGGGTGGGGGACTTTATGGGGGTCGATTTTTTTACTTTAACGAATTTCAGTTATTTATGATTAAAGAAGAAATATTTTTGTCAAAGTTTTTTGCAATAGCATTCTTTATAACTTTTGTGCTCGCTTTAGTGCCATACATAATTTTTCTTAAATGGTCTGTATTGTAGAAATTTAACAAAAAGTACAATATTTGAATTTTTTAAAATGAACCGTATTCCAGATATTTTTGGAAAACTGCAAATTTCGAATTTCAGTTTAAAAAAGGAAAAGAAAAAAAACACCAAATATAAAAAAGTGTGTGGAAAATGTATGTATTTAGTTCATCCTCTAAACATTAGATTATACAAAATAACTGGAAAAAGCCTGTAATAACTAGATAGGAAAGTCATGTATTGGACACATCAGATTTTTATAGAGAATTGCCAAAGAATACCTGAGAATTCCTGGGAATACCTAAGAATTCCTAAGAATACCTGAGAATTCCCAAGAATACCTGGGAATTCCTGAGAATTCCCGAGAATACCTGGGAATTCCTAAGAATTCCCGGGAATTCCCAAAGAATTCCAGGGAGTTCCCAAACAGATGTACACAAGAATTCCCAATGTATTTACCCCTCGACTTATGATTGCGGTTATTTAGCCGTATGTCAAACCGATATTTTGTCTTTTCTGCTTTCTGATATTCTACACCGTAACAAATAATCATCAAATATCAGTTTGACTTCCGGAATTTACGTATCTCATTTTAGGCTACTTAGAATAGTTCCGTAAACACGAATCGCTATTCATATCGATTTTAAAAAAAATGCAGCTACTTTTCTTACAGTTGATATACTTTATATTTTTGTTTGTTTCAGGTGGCCATCACATCTCAAATAGTGGACTACTAATCCTGACAGGTCTCATAATATTTGTGACTGTTGAAAAACTATTTTCTGTGATAGAACAATTAGAAAAAAATTATAAAAATACAGAAAATACTCCTGAGAATAACAATACCAAAGGTCTTAAACAGCCAGTAGAACAAAAAAAATCGGTAAGTTCTTTTTTATCGATTTGGATAATATTTTCTTGACATGGACTAAATTGCGCCTGTGTATATTTATCTTTTAGATCTTCATTGGTACCTAAAGAATAATATATTTTATATTAACAATAAAGAATACCTATACCTACTAATATTTAAATACTTACAAAGCGTATACATGACATCATTGTCATCCTCTTTGTTAGATACCACAGCTATTATATTTCTTGAAACTCCTAGAACTCGTGTCAGGAACTAATACTCGTACAGTTGCATATTTCAACGTTTCCAAAATTTTCCATTTTCCAGTTTTGTTGCTTACTTATCCGGACAATCTTTTACATGCAGGTGCGGATACAAGGGGGGGGGGGGGGGGGGAATGGTAATTACTTTTACCATTATCTAAATCTTCTTCCATTGTTACATTTTCACCAATTTATATTTTTTCAATTGAATCGGTTATATCATGTAAGTTTTGGTAAATTTCGATAGTATCTCAATCTTTCTGCCGATGAGAATTAGTTTCTTTTAGAACCTATTCCTAGCTCTCATCTCAAGCAGTATCCTTAATAGAATTATGACGTGAATTACCAACAGTTTTGGTAATTTACGTTATTAACCGGAAAATTACGTTAATATCCAAATAACTACATTTACTGTAACATATACATTGACGCTTTGACTGTAACAACACTTGCAAAAAAACTGTAACAAAACTTGACTCTATGCCAAAACGTGGCTGTTAAAACAATTTAATATTATTATCTTTTATCCTTGTAAGCAATAAATGAATCCTTTAAATTATCACTTGTGTTTTGTGTTCACATTAATTCACACAGTTAAATCAGACTTGTTAATGGATATGTAAAATATTATATCAATGTATTAACTTCGATATACCGAAATTCTAAAGATGGACTTGTCGGGTGTACTAGGTTTGTTTTGGTTCCAATTTAAGAACCGTTCTGACATGCCCAGTAATTTAAAAGTGTTTTGGTTAATTTTGAATCAGTTCAGAACCGGAGGTGACGTAAAATTCTGTGTTTTGGTTCACTCATGGAATTATTAGAACTATTCTTGAACGGTTTAAACAGTTCTTACTTGTGAGTAGGAATTATTTTAGAATTTTTAGTTCAAGCTTGCGTATTATGAAGAAAGCTATGAAACGACAACTGACAACTAATTATTGATTTATTTCATTTTGTTTATGTTTTGAACTGTTGATGTCGAGGTTTGAGATCTGAGATTGTCTTTTATTTGTGCCTTTTTACGTTTATATTTTTATTAGAACTTATTAACTTAAAACAAAAACATTATCCATGATGGGATGACTAATTTGAAATTAAATAATTTTTATATATATTTTAAAAAATATGGAAAACAAAAGACAAAGTTATAAGAAAAAGTAAAAAGAATCGAACCAAAGATATATAAGTAAAATAATATTTGAACAAACGATATAAGTAAAAACAAGAATGGAACAAAAGATATAAGTAAAAAGGTATAAGAATCGACAAGAATACATATGAAATAAAATATGACGTTTGTTAATTTTAAGAACAAAAAAGAATGCAAATTACAGTTTGGCAATCACAGAATTGACAACAAATGTTGGCTTTTTGTCCTCAATAATAAAAGGCTATAGTAATGACAAATGCAAAAAGAAGAAAAATAACAACTGGTTCATACTTTCTTGAATTGATTCTGAATCAGTTTTATTATTTTTGTCACTGCGCAACCTGTTCTGCAAAGTCCAAATAAAATTCTTGAACCGTTCTAATTTCGGGACCAAAACAAAGCTACTGTGTACTAAAAATAATATACCTGGCGTTTGTGGATTGAGAATATTAGTAGTCTTAAAAATACAAAATAAATCTTTAAAACTTTTAAAAAATATTTATTTGTACTACCACTAAATTGGTTAATTTTTATTTCTTAATCATATATAACAATAATATCTGTATTATACTTTTATTCTATTATCTGTCCAATATTAATTATTACTTATCAGTTTGTCGAGAGTTAGATACAGATAATTGTTTTGCTTTAGTAAAATAAATATAAATGCAATTGAAGTTTTCGAGGAACAATAATTTATTCCTACGTCATTCGCTTATTGAGGTCTGCATATAATTTATATTTTATTATCAAAAAAAATATACGGTGTGTAACAAAAAGCTAGATCATAAATTTTGACTCAAAAAACGGTCGGTTTAACAAAATACAAAAGTGCATAAAAAAAAGTTATTGCCTTTTGAACATTTGTGAAATACGAGTACATATTTTGTACCGAAATATTTTAATTGTTACAAAGACAAATCATCTACATTTTTATATTTAATTAAAAATTAAAACCCTAACTTATGTGTATTGAAAAAATTTCCATTATTCGAAAAAACATGGATTTTTTGAATAAAAAAATAATAAGGGTAAAAAGTTTCAAAATTAATGTGTGGCACAAGAATAACCAAAGGCTGCTACTCAAATAAAACATGAAGGTAATTTAGTACCACTTCAATTAACGGGATAGCGAAATTACAGTTCTCAGAGTCAGATGTCACTTGTCAGATAATTTAAAATGGATGTTGCACTTGAAGGTGCAGTGGATTTTGATTCATCTAGATATAATTTTCAATACCTTCCAAATTTAAGCATCTTTTTAAAAGATGAGAAAATGGGTTTCAGCAACGAACAATAAAGGACTCACGGATATTGGTAATGATGCAATTTATACATCATGTTAAATATGCGGTCCTCATTTAAAGGATATAACCAAAAAATTAAAAGCGAGCGTTTAAGAAAAATACAGTTTTTACATTGCCAATGCAATGGTAAGTAATATTTACAACAAACTTGTTTTTGATACAGTGTTAAAATAATTGGTTTGTTATTTTAATTTGTTTTCAGTTTTTAATGATCATTGTTATTGTAAAGAAAATGTTGCCTCTTCAAAATACCCTCTGTATCTGTAACGTGGAGGGTGGGTTACCCCCACGGCACTTAGGCCTCATTAGGCCCATTGTGCATCCTCCTAAGATGATAGGCACCTCCTAGCTCGTGAGCCAGCCTACAGATTCGTAGTTGACAACGTCGCCGAGAGGTGCTTCTCATATATCGGCCGGTGTTAGCCGATACTCGCCGAACACAAATCTTCTAATAAATGAGAGCGTCGGGCAATCATAAAGGATGTGCTCGATGATGTTCTTGTTCGCACCCTCTGCAGAGTGCGGATTGTGACAGCCCCATGATATGGAGATGCTTCCGTACTTGGCAATGACCAGTCAGAATGCCTGTGACTAGGCGCAGATTCTGTCTAGTCATAGTCAAGTATTTGTTTGCTGCAATGTTGTCAGGAGAACTTAAGAGCTCCCTGACAACTCTGCAGTTTCTGGTTTCATCTCATTTTTCCTTGAATTTCACAAGAGAATGTTCTTTAATTAGGTCTGTCACTACCGATTTTGTCAGGCCAATAGAAGGGCCAGGTCCCAAAAGTATTTGGTTGGCTGCTTTCTTAGCTAGTGAATCAGCAAGACCGTTACCTTTCGATGTGGCGTGACCTTTGATCCATCTTAAGGAGATTCGTGGTCTGTTCAGGGTGAGTAGTGATTGTCTGCTATCTGTATAGATTAGCATGTTCCTTCCAGTGATATTGTTTCTGGTTATTTCTTTTGCTGCTATGAAAATCCCCGTTAGCTCTGTTTGAACTACACTGGCACTATTGCTCACAACCCATTTTATGTTTAGGTTTAAGAATCTGGACTATATTCCACATCCTGAGCCTTGTTTTGTTTTAGAACCGTCTATATTATTATTTATAACTCGTAATGCTACCAATTGTCTTATATTTGTTAAGGAACTTTATTATACAATTCTGTAAAATGAGTTTTGACCCGTAAATAAATAAATAAAAACATTTAAAACTTGAAGCTGAAAAACGAAGCTGGCTGTCACATTTAGCATATAGGCGATTACCTAAGTGGTGGTTATTAGCTATCTAGCCCTAATGATTTTACACAGAAATCGTGTTTAGTTTTTGGCAAAGATTTTGTAGAATATCGGCGACCATTTAATTTGTCGGGATATAATTTATAAAACCATTTTTTGGCCTACTGTATCTCGAATAAAAAGGTGCCAAATATCTATATATTTTGTGCGAGAGCGAAAAGTATCATTTTTGGTGATATTTTGGGCATTTTGGTTAACTGAAAATACACAGATTGGTTCATAAACATGACAAATTTCATAAATGAGAAGTCTGAGATAAACGACTTCTTTAGAGGCTTCAGATAATGCTATGTATTTTGCCTCCGTTGTTGATAGGGCAACTTTGTTTTGTATTTTAGATTTCCAAGAGATTGGTGAGCCATTCATTGTAAAAACGTATCCAGTATACGACTCTCGGTCCACTAAAGTGTTACCGTAGTCAGCGCCGGTATTTGCAAAAAATTGAGTAAAATGGAATTAAAATTATGTTTCAAAACGCTCACAGAGGGGCAAGGTTAGACAAAATTCACCAAAAACTCTAGAATGAAAATTTAGGTAACTGACAAAAATAACCACGGTAAACCTACTGCAATAAATCCTTCTTTCGAAGTCACAATAGCGGACAATCCAAGGTCCGCTTGATAAAACAAAAGATAAAGCTTGTCAAAAAAGCGTTTTAAATGCGTATATTGCTGTAATTTTTTAAGTGCAAATAATATTGATAAATTCGGTCTACTCTTTGTGCTATAATAATCGAATTAACTTTGATAATAATGATGCAAAATAATCGACATGATAAGTAGATTATTATTGTATAAAAAAGCATTGCAGTATTTTACGGTTATTCCATAGAGGCATTTTTATGAGTTCTGCAAAAATTAACAAATTTATTTAGACCTAGGATTTCTTTTAGACAAAAAGTAGCAAATTCTGCCGTATTCAGTGTAGATTTTGGCACAGTTTCTTTTCGTGAACATTCTTATTTATAGTGGTATTGCGATTAGCTGCTAGTTTTTGCTTATAATGCGGTAATTTAGGCATGCGCAAGAGGGTGATATTTTTGTAACACTAATACAAGAAATTGCAGTCTGGCAAGTTTTTTATATTTTTTATTTAATTCCTGTTTTGTTACCTCCTGCGTGATGCTCTAATTATTACATTTATTTGTCTGTAATATGCATCTTATGAAAAACCCTAATTAAATCGGAATTTATCGGTACGTTTATTTTGGTTTTTTTCAGTCTTTCTTGATAAGAGTTTACTTTCCGCACACTTATAAAAAACTATTTCTGCAATGAAATGATTTTTTTCTAATATAATTAATAAATTGGCTCTCTATATTTGTGTTGTTTTAGATTATTTGAACTTAGAAATTAGTCGAAGAGATCTGTGGGAAAGGATTAAAAAATGTCCTTCAAAAAACAAAACCGACAATGTACATATCATAAAGAATACATAAGAAATTTAACAAATTGCCCAATTGACAAGTTTCAAATTATTTCAAACCAAATTTCAAAATTTATTTTTGATTTTAAAACAAAATGGCCAAAAGCTTGCAGAGTTACGTCAGTTTTTGCTAAAACAAATAGAAACCTGGCTAGATACCAAAGTGGTATTTACCAACTAAACACGCGCTTTAGATCAAATAAAAATTGGACGCTCTTTGAGTGATTTTTCATTTAGTTGCGAAAACTGCTAATATGCGCAAGGAGAATTCGGTCGAGGATATCTGTTATGCGGCTCAAATGGAGCTCAGAAAATCTGGTAAAGTGCAAGCCTCCAAACTTATACAAGAATTTATAAGAATCCTGCGAGAGCTACTGAATATATAAGAGCTTTAAATAAAGGTATGTACAGATACTAAAACAAAATTGCCACCAGAGGAGGCACTTTCAGTTTTAGTGGAAGCGAACTTATCTCGTAATCAATTAGAGGAAAGGACAAAGCTAAATTTTCCTTATGTAAAGTTGTGCAACAAGCCAAGCATGTTACCCTAATAATATAAAATTTAGTTCCATCTGTGTAGAAGTTGAACTTCAATCCCTACTTCACAACACTACCAAGAGAATATTGTTATTACAAAAAGAAATGTTGGGTAGGTTTAATCGAAAAATACTACAGTAAGTATTGTTGATATGCAAATGGGGTTTTGATGGCTTCTCTGGACAAAACAGTAATTACCAGTTATCATTATTTAACATGTATTGCCTGAAAACAGCACAATTACTCATAGATAGATAAATATTATTATATTATATGACGCGAACAGTTCACTTAATTTTAAATCAAGGTGCAGAAATTATTCGTTCCGTACTTCTTCCAGTTGGCCAGGACCCAGAAGAGGCTGCAGAAAGTAGAAACAAAGATTTTAAAAAATATCGAGAAAGTTTCGCTAGAAAAATAGCTCGAGAGAAAACTAATGAAGATGTTTTGAGGGGCTTCTTCTCTCTTCGGATCCTGTTATTACTGGTATTAGAAAAACTCAAAAATTAAAGAGAAATAATTTGTCTAGCGTTTATCCATGCTTCTACCACCAGAAGTAGATGACCAAATTAGTAATGTTTCTGATAGTGATGACTCTTTGGATTGTAATTTTGATTAAATATTAGTTTTAAATAATTATTGTTCCATTGAGCTATAGACCTTAGTTTATTGTCTATATTTTCAGTTAATACATTGTGAAACCACCGATATATTATTATAAAAGCCTTTTAATTAAAAAAAAAATGTTACTTTAGTATTTTGATAATGTTTGAAGTGTGTTCTGTAGCAAAATATTCTGTTGTTTTATTTTTTCTTTATGTTTCCACTCTTGTACTTAATTTGTCATCAACAAATAATGTAATTTCAGAAGGGATAATTTTATTATTAAAAATAGTGATTAATATATATCTACCTACTCCTACTAAGCTGTTTTACTACTTGAGTTTCTCACAACTTTTTAAGGAGTAGCCTGTATCTACTTTAAAAGGTGTCAGTTATAATGAGACACCCTGTATAGTGTCAATAATATCTCTGTTAATATTAGTTTCTTATATTAACACTTTAATCACATGACAGAATACAAAAGTATAAGCTTTAATGCTTTCCAGAATTGTTGGTAAGTTTTGATGCTTTTTGCCCCTGTGTGCGCTGTACAAAATGAACCAGTTCTGTCACCACTATTCGTTAATTTGGTATCTTATAAGTCTGTATTTTAAACAATTTTGAAATCATTGTTAACCTACCTAAATTATGATAATTTAATTTGGGGTCTGCATCATTGTTTAATTTCACAAAAAAAATAATTGATTTTCAACCCCATAATATTTTCTAAAAGCATTTTAGAGTTGAATACTGTATTACCAGACCATTCTAAAACTGAAATAAAATACAGGGTGTACTATCTAAAAAATATAAATTTTTATTGGTCAGGTATAAACGTAACATCCTGTATATCCAAAAATATTTTTAAAATATCTTTTTCAAATTTATATAACTTTTATCCAAAACTTGTTTGCGTGCCTATAATACAAATTGAAATATCGACCAATTACACATTAATAAATATATTTTCATTAAAAAAAAAATCATTATGGAGGCAATGCACAAATTTAAGTAACCCTGTATAAAGTTTATGGATTGGTTGTTCAAATAGTTTACTGTCTTGATGATAAATACTTTTCGAATAAAATAAACGTTTTCTCGTATTTATGAAAATAAGATTTATTCAGTCTATCTATGCGATTTTTAAAATAATTGATTATAATAATCTTAAAATAAAAATGAACCAATAACATTATTTGTTTTAAAATAACCTTGATAACTGATAGTAAAGCTAGAAAGTTTATCAGAGGGAAACAAATATATAATGCTAATTGAGATTATTTAAATTCTGTGCAAGATTAATATAAATAACACTGCTTCATTTATAAATAACAATATTTAACCCAATATTTTGTTATTTTAACTTAGCGGAAATGTAATTGTTTTTAGTGGGTGAAATTTAAAATAAGTTGTCATTGCACTATTGTTTATAAATTAAAAATATGAGTCATAAAAGAATAACAATGTTGTTTTGATTTGAATATGTACGGCAATAATATTAAATAGGTACTCTTTATTTTAATTGCCAATAAGTTTACACAAACTATTTAAATTTTGAAAATATATTTTTTAATAAAAAAAAAGTATGTAGTACCTATCTTTATTGTTAATTTATTTTATCACAATATTTCAAAAAATTATCAATTATATTAATAAAAACTAGAAACAATTTTTCTTTGATTGTTTTGATATTACGCACTCCAAAAACCTAAAATACAATAAAACCATCAAAATATCGCTTTTTGCGAATTTATAGTTACATTATACCACAATAAATTAATAATATACCCTAAACAACAAAATGTAAACAACAATTATTTCTATTTTAGGTTGCGGGATACCTCAACCTTGTAGCAAACACCATGGATAATTTCACCCATGGTTTATCATTAGGAGGAGCATTCCTGGTATCACTGAGGTTAGGTTTACTCACTACCTTTGCCATATTAGTTCACGAAATCCCTCATGAAGTGGGTGACTTTGCAATTCTGCTCAAATCTGGATTCACTAGGTGGCATGCAGCTGTATTTCAAATTCTTACAGCTGGAGGAGGCCTAATTGGGGCCATGGCGGCTATAACGTTTAGCGGGGCGCGTACTGCTCTGGGTAAGAACATTTAAAATTTTATGTATAGGTTATTTTATAGATTGGTGAAAAATTTATATTTTTCTTTAAGAAAATATCCCATTACTATTATAATCTTATCACAGATGATCAATTAGTATAGTAGTAGTATCATTCTATTAGCATTTTTTAGATAAAATTGTATAACTATAAATTGTAATTTTTGATTTCTAGTTTTAAATGGCATAGGTTGTCCAAAAATCGTTCTGTGGTTAAGTGAAATATTCTCAAAAAGAGGGATATGCTCTGATCAGCTGTTTCATCATTTTATCTCAACATAACCTCAAAATTTTCAATTCACCATGGCAAGTCCACCAGAAAATTGCACCTTAGAAGAGCAGCGCTCAGTTATTAGATTTTTAGTCGCAGAAGGTGTAAAACCAAGTGAAATATGTTCTAGAATGTTGATACAGTACGGTAAAAATTGTATGAACCGTGCGAATTTTTACAAGTGGGTTGATCGGTTTAAAAGTGGCCGAACAAGTGTAGGTGATGAACCCCGATGTGGACGTCCAGTGGAAGTTCCTGGTCCCTCGTTGGAATCGAGGATTGACGGACTTATTCGTGATAACAGAAGAATTACTGTTGAAATGATAGCTGAGGAAGTTCAAGTAAGTGTTGGAACTGTTCACAATGTCATTCAGAACAATTTAAAGTACAGAAAAACGTGTGCCAGATGGGTTCCCAGACAGCTTACTGACGCTCACAAAGAATCAAGGCTTCCCATTAGTCAAGACTTAAAGCAATGACGTTAGATTAAAGGAGACGCTTTTTTTGAAAGAATAGTGACCAGCGACGAGGTCTGGATCCATCACTACGACCTTGAGACCAAAAGGCAGAGTATGGAGTGGAAACACACTAGTTCTCCAGTTCGCAAAAAATTCAAGGACGAGCTAGGAGATGCCTATTTACTTAGAAAGATGCACAATGGGCTTAGTAAGATCTAAGTGGTGTGAGGTAACCCACTCTCCACACGTTTCAGATAACAGAACCCACCCTTAATGAGATAAAAAAATAATGTTAGTTAACAACAATTAATGACTTTGCCAGAGTCATAAGTGGCTACAAATTCAGCTGCAGATCTTAATTATTGAAATTAAAATTATATCAAATTTTCAGCCGTTACATTTTTTTTATTGTCCAGCAATCCATTTAGTTTTTTGCGATTTTAACAATCTTGCCGACTCTGTATCGAATTGTAAAATTGACAAGTTTCAATTCATTTGGTACTTTATCTTACCACGAAGTTTAAAAAATGTTAAAATTAATAATAAATGTTTAGGGTTGTACGTTAGAGTGGGCCGAAAAAACTATTTTTTTTATTTCGAAGTTGTAATAGCGGGGAAAAAATTATCAAAATCGGTTGGAACCGTTTTCGTTATTTAGACCCAAACATTGTAACGGTTGGAACCGTTTTCGTTATTTTGACGCAAACATCTCTACTCTAATGTCATTTGTCGTTTATGCCTTGCGTCAAAAGCTCATTTTCATTTCGATTGTCAACGATTAAGTTGATTTAAATTTTTAATTATCTGGGTCATCCGATGTACTAAATAAAGTTTATCTATCGTATAGGCCGTCTGATTTTATAAGGTAAGCTTTTATACCGATATATTGTTGAAAATATTTATTTTGTACAAGAATTTCTAATTAAAATGTCAAATTTGAAACATAACCTCAACATGAAAACACAAGGATCACATGTTTTATAAAATTTTATATATTATTTTGTTTGGAATGAGATAATATGCTTTACTATATTTAAATATGTTAAATAAGATTTTTCCTTTTCCTATTAATTTTGGTCTCTGTGAAACTATTCACTTAATAGTTTAAATTATTCAATTATTAGTTAAAAGCATTTTATCTGGTTCCTATATAACTCCTAGTTCCTTTCTTGATATTTTTACCTTTTCCTTGTAGCCTGGCTATATCTAGACGGTATAGAAATATAGAAGATTTAGAAGTTTAGTTCAAACTACATCTAAGGAAGTTTATTTCAAGTATATCAAGAGGTTCGTTCAAGTCATCTAAAGAAGTTTATGAAATTTTAGTTTGGTACTGTCCGAAGAGTATCGTACGAGTCCCTTTGAAGGAGGCCTTTACTAGTCACTTCTTATTAGTAGTAGCTCTTGTCCAACAGATAACTCTCTTTTGAATAAATCGTCCAAATTTGAATAAGTAAATCTCTGTGAATTAGAATTTGTTGCTACCTTATCTAAAACTTTATTTAATTATAATATCTTAATGGTTAGTGATTTTCTATATTTTTATCACTAATCGATACTCAAGTTTAGTAAGTTTTAAATATAGTGGCGCTCAACATTCTTTTTCAAAGTAATACGAGTTATTTAATAACCGGTCGCGCATAGGCCCTAAAGTTTGACAAAATATGGAAAAATAAACTACATTTTTGTGATTATTTTTTATTTTTGAATTAGGTGTTTTCGTAATGTAATAGTTTGTAACGTCTTCAAATAGAGTATAAAAACATTGTGTTTTAATATGGTTTAGACTAGTTGATATCTTCCGGTCGAGCATAAGCCCCAAAATTTGCCAAAATATTGAAAATTTCACATTTTAACGGCATTACTCGCCGATTTAAGAACCCGCGTCATTCTACGTTGGCCACGTTACTCCAAATTCTGGAAGATCTGAAGATATTCTCAAGTCTAATTGCTTACCTGTCTGAGCGTGGTATTAGTCTTGAAAATCTAATTGTCATTGGATCTGATGGTACTGCTGTCAATACAGGTTGCAAAAATGGCCTGATTCGCCGAATTGAACTTTATTTAAGGAAACTTGTACAATGGTCAATTTGTCTCCTCCGTTTCAATGAGTTTCCATTCTGCCACATGTTTGATCACTTGGATGGCAAGACAACGGGGCTTAGTACTTCAAAAGGCTAATCGGTGAAAAGTTAGTTGGCTGCTAAAAATTGCCAGTAGTTAACTTACAGAGAATTAGGCATTCCAAACGAATGAATTGCCAGTGGGAAGGTTTGGTATATCTAAGGGTTGCGACATATGATGTATTCTATCTACTATAAAAATCATGAATAATGGATTACATTTAAATATTTTATGTCAAACACAATAAAAATAATATTTAAAAAACCCGCTTATACATTTCTTCATAAATTGGCAGGTTTGGCGACTACTAATTCAAATAAAAATAGCGTCCAAGATGCAAGAGTATGTCGCTTCCTCTTTAGATATACGAGAACTTCCCACTGGTACATATTGTTTGACAGGTCGTTGGAATGCCTAATTGGAGTGGTACTAAATTACCTTCATGTTTTTTCATTTGAGTAGCAGCCTTTGGTTATTCTTGTGCCACACATTAATTTATTGTCAGATCCCACAGATAGACAGAAAAGTGCTTAGTAAAGATCAGCAATACCTACGTGATATTTCAAAGGCATAAAATCAGGAACCTGTAAAGAAGATTTAGCTGTACGGGATCCTGGGCACATCACATTCGAGGTGGTTGACAAAAGCAAATAGAACTATCAGATTGTACATAAGTGAAAAGAACCCCCCTCACCTGAACTTCAAGAACTAGTTTTGTTTATATTGAAATCATACAGGCCAATCTGGTTTACTATCAAAATAAGTAAACACTTTACAGACGGCCCGAAACTTGTTTACCAAGCAGGTATTTGCCAAAAGCTTTTTTTGATATTAACGACCCTGTGATCGAACGGAATGATTTTTGCCCACCCAGAACACTTACTCTTAGCCATGACTCAAGATGACAAGAAACACATAAGAGAGTTCGGACTTCGAAGAATTCTAAAGGCACGGCAGATAGAGTGCAAGAAGGAAAACAGTAAGAACATTCACGCCACCAAAAATCAACTACACTGCGCAAGAATACTCAGAAATGATTAACTGGATGGACTGTGAATTATCTTCTCCCCCATTGTTAGCAGAAATCACTGACGACGAGATCAAATCGCACAGCGACAGTGACTCAATCCCTGACTGTAACATTACTTTCAAGCAATTTCCAGTTCACACGCAGGCTGTTGAACGCTGTAAAACTCGTCACGGACGCCTCGGGAAAAGTTTGTGGTGCTGAATCTCGAGAAGGATTTATAAGAACCACTCTGCTGTCCAGATTATCCATGCCTAACTTCACCAGCAAATAAATCAGTCTTCAAAGTACCTTCAGCAAAAAAAATAGAGAACAGTACTAATGGACAAGTTTAACTAACATGGACTATTTATTCTTTTTTTATAAAAGTAAGTTTATTGTTAAAAACTATACTGTAACTTAAATATTTAAGCTTTTTAAATAGAGCAAGTCGAAAAGTAGCATGCCCCTTGTTACTGTTATCACCCATCATGTCATAGGCCTAACTATCTTTTTTCAGGTACTGTTTTTCTATAGTAATGGGGTCATTGCGCGACCGGAAGTTGTGTATTTATTCACACCATAATAAAATACAATGTTATGTTCAAAAATAAAAATACTGTAACTATTACGTTAAAAAAAAGGTATATTAAATATATAAAAAAGAACTTATAGAAATGTGAAATTTTCAATATTTTGGCAAATTTTGGGGCTTATGCGCGACTGGAAGTTATCAACTGATCTAAACCAAATTAAAACACAATGTTTTTTGGCTCTATTTGAAGACGCTATTACAAAACGAAAACATCTAATTCAAAAATAATCACATTATATTTTGTCAAACTTTAGGGCCTATGCGCGACCGTAAGATGTCAACCGATTTTGATAATTTTTTGTCTATATAATTCGCAACTATTACAACTTCGAAATAAAAAAATGAGTTTTTTTGGCCCACCCTTAAAAAAATAAATTAAAAACGGAATGAATGCTGTGTTGATAAAGTTGCCATGAATTTTATAATTCTCTAGTGATACATAATTTTAAACTTTATATACATATTTTATCAGTATTTTACTGGCATAGCAGGGCGCTTAAAGAATTCGAAATCTACAAATATTCGAAAAAATTTATACATTTTATTTTCTTTAAATGAACTACAAAAGGATCAACATTTCAAACTTCTTTAAGAAAACCAAGATATTAAGTTATGACACACCAACGTGTATTAGTTTTGTGACAAAATTATGACGAAAAACTTTTTTCATTTGCAGAAGCAAGAAGTTCCTGGATTTTGCCATTCACTGCAGGGACATTCCTTCATATAGCTCTGGTGACTGTTCTTCCCGATTTACTCAAAGAGGAAGACCCAAAAGAGTCCTTCAAGCAACTATTAGCTTTAATCCTAGGGATCAGCATAATGGCGTTTGTTACAAATGTTTTAGAATAGAAAACATGATAAATAAGAATGACTATCGTAGATATTAAATATTTATTTATAAGGTGAGATGTTGAACATATATGTTATTTAGAAGTGACGATGAAATGCGTAACATGATTTGTATAAAAATCTGAGATTTTTTTACAAATAAAGTCTTAATAAAAATCACACACATATCTAAGTACAAAACTTCGTCTAATTCAATTATTTTTTTATGAACTTGTAATATTTTATTGTATAGGCTTTTTTCAAGGTTTGAAGTATTTAATATTGTAAATATTTTCATTTAATATTCTCAATAACGAAAAATAAAGTTTGATACTCATTAGTTTTTTTGTGTCTTAAATTTCTATGAATTAGATTTCCCTTTGTATTATTTCTGATTTCAATAGTTTTGTGTTCACCCTGTGTTCACCCATTTGCAATGTATTTTTTAAAGTTAATCAGATAAATAATAAATATTCTTTATTGGATTGCTACCTTCGGGCCATCAACTGAAGTTAATTTTCTATTATATCTGGAAATGAAAGCTTCATGTCCTTAGTATTAATACATTTTAGTTTTGTAATTTAAATTATTTGAACGTATTTTGTCATTTTTCTTTTGAATTCGTAGAAATTAAAGAATATTTTTTATTAAATAACGATGGTCTTTCTTAAAAAAATAATTAAAAACGGAATGAATGCTGTGTTGATAAAGTTGCCATGAATTTTATAATTCTCTAGTGATACATAATTTTAAAGCTTTATATACATATTTTATCAGTATTTTTAGATAGAATAGTTATAATTTGATATTCTGAAAGAAAATGTATAAAAAAATAATTTTTTAAATATAAAAAATGTGTTTTATCATATTCTTGTTTTATTCCTTATAGTTTATTTCATACAAAGTGACACAGCAAAAACGAAACTAATTGAGTATCTCTAAGATTTTTTTGAATAAAACGTAACGTAAATTGCACTGACCCAAATGTATAAAAGTCCATTTTAACTTATTTTCAGAAACCATAATTTTTAGATACACTTGGTATGAAACAAATTTTTGGAGTCCCAAGTTCACAAAACAGTGCAAATAATAATTAGATTTTTGATTATGTAAAATGGTAATTTTATGTTTCATAATAAGCAAAAAAATATGCACGCTTTCAATATCAATTTCCTACAAGAAACAACTTTTGTGTAGTGGTATCTGTCACATGTCTTCTATTCTCACTTGTGAGATCTGGAAGTCGTGGATGGCGCCAGTTAAATTTATTTAACTCTAAAATGTTTTTTTTTTTAAACAAAAAATTACTTTTTGAAAATCAAGGGCTTTATTTTTTTGTGGGTTTTGAATCTGTTACAATCAAAGCTATACTATTACAATTTTTAAATGATGGTGACTCATCGAAGGATTATGGTCGGCCGGCAACTATGTATTTCTAGAATTACCCATAATCCCCCATTGCAGTGGCGTAACAATGATTCGCGATAAAATGCTTATATTGAATAAGCTTTATTTGACACGATTTTATGATTTACGTTAAATATTGTTTAATCTACTTGTTTGAAATATCTGAAGAAGTTGACAAGAATGGGAATTTTTTTATTAATAATATTACAAAAAAATATTTAAAAAGTTCTACAATAATGACGAATAAAATTTGTAAAATATTTAGTGGTATACAGGGAAAATAAAAAGTGCATGTAAATTTAAATACAGAACAAAATGCAATTTAAAATATTGATAGGAATTAAAAAAGTATGGCCTTCTAATAATCAAAAAATTTAAATAAAAAAAAAAACACTGAAATAATTTAGCAATTGATTGATAAGATAAATTAAAAATAAATATACTTACATGCATCACATATAAATCAGTAATCAAGAATAAAATAAAAAATATTGATTTATGGTGAAGAGTCCTTAGAACTGGAATCCTCTGAGACATTGAATTCTATCACCACCTTTTCGATTACATTGTCCACCATCCCGTCCAATCCCCATATGTTGTCTTCTTCCTTAATGACGTGGGTTATGGCATTCGTCCAATCTTTCTGTATTCGTGCCATTCCGATTTCCAGTAAACGTTGGACGTCGCTAATTTGAAATGTCACATTTTCACGAGCTACGTTACCCTTTACTTCCGCCCAAATAAGTTCTATCGGATTCAATTCGCAATGGTACGGAGAAAGTCTTAATACGGTTATACCTCGAGCAAGAGCCAATGTATCTACAACATGCTAACGATATCTGTCTCGATGCTGTCTAATTATGCTTATAAGCTCCCATTTAACCATGTCCTCAGAAAAGGGAATTATCTTTTGTCGGAACCAACCTTGCATCACCGCTTTTTTAGTGGCCATAGTGAGTAGACGTTCCACTAAGCGGCTTTGATAAGCGTTATCAAGCACTATCACTGAATTTGGCTCGATCCGTGAAAGTAGTGTTTCAAACCAACCTTCAAAGCGTTGAGCGTCCATGTCTTCGTGATAATCCCCCGCTTTTTAGATAAGAAAACTAAGGCACTGTCGTTTAAAAAACCTCTTTCACTACCTATATGGGCAACAATTAGTCGTTGTCCTTTTCCAGTTGGTCCCCGTAATCCTGTTGGTAGACCTTCCACAAATGCTTCTCAATAACTTGTTACCGTAATATTTTGCCAGATCTTAAATAATGTGTGACCAGCATTCAACCATGTTTCATCCAGATAATATATTGTCTTGTTTGCCGAACGATGTTCTCTTATAGAGCGAAGATATTTTCGTCGCCATGAAACGATCTCTTCTCTTTCTATTAAAACAGAGTTACGAGATCGTCTTGCATATCGAAACTTTAACTCATGTACTATTTTCTTAAAGAGAATATTCTCCAATAATTTCCTTCTAATGGATTCCATGGTTGGCGATTTGTTAAAAAAAAAACCTGCCATATTTTTCTTTTAGAGCTTGCACCAGCGTTGCCAGTCTATTACAATTGTAATAGATCTATTACTATTTTAACAATTCTATTACGTTGTTACGTTACTCATCAAATCTATTACTATTTTTTACTTTTCACAAATTTTACAATATTACCACAACTTACCCAATTATCCTTCCTCCATGCTTACCCACCAGTGAAGGTGTGATATTGCTCTTTGTCTAAAATTAAAACGCCAAACTCCCATTATGATCCGTATTTATAAACATAACTCAGAGTCGTCCTTGAACGAAAATTTAAGTTCGGTTATATCGCGTGAATTTAGAGATGGGTAAAAACAAATCCGTAAATGTACTTAACAGTTACAGATTTAATATTATTCTAGATTCTGGATTTATGAGGTTTGAAACATGTAATAGAGGTTTTTTCTCTACAAGTTGGCATGCAAATGTGAATTTGGCAAAAAGGTTGCTAATTAGGGTAACGGTATGGTGAATGTATCGGCATATTTTTGATTTCTCTCACTGTTTTATTGACCACCTTTATTTCATTCACATCCGAATAAAAACAGGATTAAATAGTCAAAATCCGGAAATTAACGCGAAAATCGTCTGGATAATCCAAATAAAAATAAACGTAGTCATTTTTACTATTTTCTGAAATCTATTACCTTTTAAACCATCAATCTGTTACTTTTTATCAAACAGTTCTGGCAACACTGGTTTGCACAGACCCAGTCACCTTCCTTTCACGTACAATTTGTTCAATTGTCGCCACGGATACTCTCGTTAAAAATGAACAGCGGTCCAAGGCATTGTCGGAAGTGTATTTATTAAACTTTCATTTACGCTACAGACCATCTGTTTTTCATCGTTTGAAAGATTTTTCCGCTTCCGTTGTGAATTACTTGGACCCGCTACTGCATCCATCTTAATGTTGTTAAGATAAAAACCATCAATCATATACCTGCTACCATTAGTCCACTCAAATTAAACTTAGAAAAAAAAATGTTAACAGGAAAATTTGAAACCCATGACTAAAAAAATGTATTTGTCTGAATCTTAATCATTCTACTTAAATGTTTGAGTTGCTATTGCATTTTTTGTTTTTCTCCAGTTTTGAGCATGTTTTTTAATCGTGACTACATATTTTTTTATTTTATCGGAAACTACATGTCAAAATGAAAAAAATGAACACCTGAAGAAATTTGTACGATAATTTTTCAGCGTAGAATTTAAAAAAAAAGTGTTTTGAATAGAAAAAATCTGATGTGTTCAACACATAACTTTCCTATCTAGTTATTATAGGCTTTTTCCGGTTATTTTGTACAACCTATTGCAGCACCTCTATTATTGTTTAGAGAATAAACTAAATATATATAATGTATAAACAAAAATTATAGAGATCGATATCGCAAACAACTTTTATTTCAACAATTTTCATAAAAATCAGAATTTTGCACATTTTGACAAATTTCTCGAATACGGACCATTTCAGGAAATTTTGACATAAACCAAAAATTATAGATAATAATATTAGAAATAACTTTTATTTGAACATTTTTTTTTCTCCAAACATAAATAACAGATATATTCCATAAAATATAAAAACGGCCCCCCATAAAGTACCCCCCCAGATGTTCCGACTTTGCCCAAAATCTAATCATTTCACGTCAGGCCGAAATAAAACTTAAGTTTAAAATTTTATGTTTTTTTTCTTTATCCGTTTTTGAGTTTTCTTCAAATTTCGAAATTTACACATTTTCTCAAATATCTCGAATACGGTCCATTTTAGAGAAATTATGTGAGGGATAAAAATTATAGAGAATTATATTACAAACAACTTTTGTTTGAACAATTTTTATAAAAAAATATTTTTTTACATTTTGTCAAATTTCTCGAATACGAACCATTTTAGGAAAATTTTGTATAGAACAAAAATTTTAGATAATAATATAAGAAGTAACTTTTGTTTGAAGAATTTTCTTCCCCAAACGTAAATAACAGATATATTCCATAAAATATAAAAATGAACACCTATAAAGTATCCCCCAGATGTTCCGACACTGCCCAAAATCTAATCAGCACATTGGACGCTGAGACAAAGCTTAAGTTTGAAAATTGGTGTTTTTCTGTGTATCGGTTCATGAGTTATACGACACACAGACACACACACACAGACATCATCGCGAAAATAGTCAAAACGGATTCAGGGGACCTCAAAACGTAAAAATCCGTCGAAAACTCGAGGTCGAAAAAAATCATGATTGCTATACTTTCCTTATATCTGTATACAGATAGGAAAGTAAAAATGACCATCTATAAAGTACCCCCCAGATGTTCCGACTCTGCCCAAAATCTAATCAGTTCATTGGACGCCGGAATAAAGCTTAAGTTTAAAATTTGGTGTTTTTCTTTGTATCGGTTCATGAGTTATGGTGGATACAGACACACACACATACATCATCCCGAAAATAGTCAAAACGGATTCAGGGGACCCCAATTTCACCGTGGCTGAACTCCCTAGAAACTTTCCTAAAATATCAGACCATGATGTAATAGGAATAAATGTACCTGGCTTAAATCATACATCTGTGGACAAATTTATCTGGAGAAGGAATATGAATGAGGAAAATATACATAAAATTATACTGGACTTGATAGGAAAGCATTGGGAAACAACATCAACGGATGTCGAGGTGTTATATAATAATTTTTCAAATAATGTTCGAGACTCTCTCAATAAAATTAGCCCCATTAATAAAATTAAATGCAATCAGACACCATGGATCAATATACGTGTTACACAGGCACAAAAATTACGAAACGCACCGTACAATAGATTTAAGTTTACGGGTACTCAGG